AATTCAAAAAATGAAGTTTCAGCTGCCTGCTCTACTCTAAATTTGATATGTGATGCAAATAGACACACGCTTGAATCCAAGATCAGAGTTTCTAGAGCTATTTCTAGAAGAATACTAATAAGGAAAGCGATTAGAAAGTGACAACTGGAAACTATGCACTTACCTTAGTAACGTCGACAATAGTAGCAGGTGAAGTTTTTCCGTTGAAACTCCTCTGATCGATTGCTTCTACTTTTTGACCAACTTTGAATAGATTTCGAGGCGGCCGGAGGTTTTCTGAGATCTAGAAAAAAAAAGGTTTTCCCAATATCATTTTTGCGAAACTGCGTTTAAAACAGATACCAAGCTACAAGACCCCTTGATTAAAAACAGACTTCCTGTGGTCATATTTGTTCTTCTGATCTTCTGTTCATCCTACTTCCTCAGAAAAAGATATTACCATCTTGCTTGTAAAATGTTAAATGAGAAGAGGTCAATGACAGAGGATTACGGACATTCCGCATCACGATGTTAAGAAAACGATCGTTTGTGCAATTGCACAAAAACTGATGTTTAGTCTAAAAGCGTTTGAAACCGAAAGATGGAGTTAACTTTACTTACCGGCCGGAACCATTCTGCTGGACAAAGCATAGACTCTCCCGTTTCATCGTCAGGCTTTAAATGCTGTTCCAAAAATTTTGGGAATGTACCATGATGATGAATGAAGCCAATTGGAGGATTCAACTTCATTTGATCTTCAGCGCTATCTCTAAATACGAATGAGAATCAGGAAAAAGTAAGAAACCATGGGAAATATTTGAAAACTAGATCTTACCCGATTGGTTGTATGGATTCATCATCGCAGAATATCCACTTCTCATGCGAATTATCCAATCCTTCAAGACGTACACACAACCATAGCTTGTAGACATTGACGACGGTGCCAAGACAAAACATTGCACTCGATCCAGTGGGGCCTGGAGTATGATTCAACGATTTACAAAATAATTCAATACTCAAAGGATAAAAGAAAATAAAAAATGGTAGAAGAAAATGAACAGAATTCTACCCTAAATTCAAATAATAATTTTCAAAAAAAA